GCTTCGAGAACAGTATCCAACCATCTCGACCTCTGTTGTCCCCTTCTCCTTGTGCCCTCAATCTTGCCCAGCATCAGGGTTTTTTCCAGGGAGTCTTCTCTTCTCATGAGGTGGCCAAAGTATTGGAGCCTCAGCTTCACGATCTGTCCATCCAGTGAGCACTCAGTGCTCATTTCCTTAAGAATGGAGAGGTTTGATCTTCTTGCAGTCCATGGGACTCTCAAGAGTCTCCTCCAGCACCATAATTCAAAAGCATCAATTCTTCAGCGATCAGCCTTCTTTATGGTCCAGCTCTCACTTCCATACATCACTACTGGGAAAACCATAAGGTAAAGGTAAAGGTACCCCTGCCCGTACGGGCCAGTCTTGACAGACTCTAGGGTTGTGCGCTCATCTCACTCTAGAGGCCGGGAGCCAGCGCTGTCGGCAGACACTTCCGGGTCACGTGGCCAGCGTGACGAAGCTGCTCTGGCGAACCGGCACCAGAGCAGCACACGGAAACGCCGTTTACCTTCCCGCTATAAAGCGGTACCTATTTATCTACTTGCACTTAAGGGTGCTTTCGAACTGCTAGGTGGGCAGGAGCTGGGACTGAACGACGGGAGCTCACCCCGCCGTGGGGATTCGAACCGCCGACCATGAGGTCGGCAAGTCTTAGGCGCTGAGGTTTTACCCACAGCGCCACCCGCGTCCCAGGGAAAACCATAGCTTTTACTATACGGACCTTTGTTGACAAGGTGATGTCTCTGCTTTTTAGGATGCTGTCTAGGTTTGTCATTGCTTTTCTCCCAAGATCCAGGCAAGCTAGAGGCATTAAAAACGGCATGTTCCAGCTAGGCAAAAATGCCAGGGAAGGAGGATGCCAAGCAGGACCAATGCATAATGTGACCCGAAGAGAGGAGGTATGGCTGGGGAAGGGTTTGGGCTGGAGGGCCAGATAGAGAGGCCTAGAGGGCTACTTTGGGGCTTCTCCACCCCTGCAATAGGGTAATAACCAGTGCTTTTTTTCTTTAAAAAATGTTTAGGGGTACTCTCATTTTGACTCAAGAAAATCACCGTTTTATAGTTCAAATCAGGGAAAATAAACACAGTAAATTGACAAAAGTACAAAGATTCAAAAAAAGTTTAGGGGTATGTGTATCCCTGCGTACCCCCAGAAAAAAAGCACTGGTAATAACAGTTCCACAGGATAGTGTTGACTTTCCTTTGTCCTCGTTGTTTTGAAAGAGCAACACACACATAGTCCCTCTCTCTCTCCTGTTTTTATGGGGAATGCATGTGTTATGTACTGAGTTGAATAGGATCCAAACTGCAGCAGTCTGATTGGTCCTAGAACAATAGGATTCAGAATGCAGCAGTCTGATTGGTCCTAGGGCAATGCAGCAGTATGATTGATCGGCAGGAACCACCCAATGATGCTGCAGATAGAAGTGAATCCACAACCTGATTGGCCTACAGGAGAATTCCGGAATTAGCCAATCACGTGCAGCCCATTGTGTAAATAATGTATATAAGCAGATACTTTGAGGGGACTTTCATTCTTCCTCCTCACCACTATGAGCTGAATAAAGAGCATGAAATCACTTTGCGACTCTGAGTATATTTCAGCATGCCTTTGTATAGTTGCCAGATCACTCTGTGGACATGTGGCTAAAAGCTGAGAAGGCTCACGATTCTAGCCCTGCTCGTGTGGTTTCTTGAGCAAATTAATATCTATCATACTCTTCCCCTCCCCCACTATCTGCCACCTAACAGCGATCCTACTTCATAGGGTTGCAGTGAGGAAAACAAAACAAAAATAGTAATGTGCTATGTTGAAGCAAAACGGATAATTAATACTAGTTGAGGACATGCTAAGCTACCTTATTGCTGCATGGTATTTGCCTGAGGGGAGGAATGAAGCCCCTAATTAATATGACTGGTCTGCCTGTAGAGAAATGGGATCAATTCAGTCATGGTATGGAATGGGCCTGACGTCTGGGTGAAAAAAACCATTAAAAAGGCTGTCAGTGCATTAGCCCAGGAGCTCGTGTTGACAGCGTTAAGGAATCCAGAAACCGAGGCTCAGGTCAAGAGGGGAAGGCAAGGCTAATGTTAAGGTTTGGAGAGCTGAGTTCCTGTTGGGGTTAGGAAAACAGCCTCCGCCACAAGGTTAAAAGTCCAGAACTTTGGGAAGCATGAAAAGGCCTGTGTTGGAAATACAAAGCCTTTTGTTCCATGAAGTGATCCACAGTGGTCTCCGGGGCAGATTCTGCTGGGCACTTCCCCAGGGTCATTAGTTAAGACTACAGTGTACTTTAATATGGGGGAGGGGAGTCAGGAGGTTAGAAGCCAGCAGTAGACTTGATGCACAGGGCAGACAGATAGTAGAATTGGGAGCAAGGCAAATGTGCAGACAGATACGAAAAGGGGAGGGAATATTCAATGTACGTGTGCAAACAAGAGGGGTCAGATACAGATGTGCAGGCGATGCTGACAAGCAGAGTCACAGCTCAACCCATAGGTCACAACAGGCTCCTTAATCTGAAAGCTTGCACACTTTTTGCTTTGTTTTAGTTGGTCCTAATAAATGTATTGCTCAATTGTGGGCTTTCTATGGAGGTCCCCCCCCCCCCGCCCTTATGGACCAACACAGCTGCCTTTGTCTTTGTCTTTTGAAATGAGTCATTAAAAAGCAAAAAAACGCAGCACAGATGTCTCCTGATCTTCCTGCATTTTAATTCCTACAAGATCCACATTTAATTAGACTCAGATTCCCATCATCTTATTTTCCTGCCCTAGCACCTTGTATATTAATAATGGGAGTCAAGTCAGTCATCTAGCTAGCAACAACCAAGACAGGAGCAATTCATAGCAATCATGGTAATTTCCCTCTCTTGCTGCGATACAGCAGCCTGTGAGAATCTCTTCTCATTGAGAAGGATTATCCAGGTTTGTGAGTTTTCCACAAGAGCAATGACCTTGGTTTGTACTATAAACAGGGTGATGGGTCATTCATGACTCACAAGGCACATTATTACATTGTTTCTCTGTGTCATTGTATTAGGGACACAAGCAGGGTGGTACAGATTAACCTGCTGTGTGTGGCAGGGAGAATTACTCAGAGGTCTCTCATGTGGACAAAAACCATACCCCCAAGGTGGGCCTGAATACAAAGAGTGCACCCAGAAGATCCTGCTAGCAGCTCTTTACTAAGTGTCTGCTACTTTCCTCCAACCTGATGGCATATATTAAAGATGGGTACCTGCATCTCTTCTCCATCTCTCTGTTCTCTTTGTCAGAATAGGTTCCTCCCATGCACGCCATGCCTTGCAGAAAAGTAGATGTAAAAGCGGTTTCAGGAGGCCTAGTAAAGCAAAGCAAAGGGGGCCTGTGTTGCCCAGACATATGGGACCTAAGGATGGGCGAATCTATCCATTTCAGTTTCTCATAATCTCTCATTTTTCAGTCTTGTGTTCAGGTCTCTACATTTCCACATCAGTTTTTCCCCCTAAGTCCTTGTGAAAATTCACTAGCATTTTACTGTGAATTTCTCCTAATGTACACATATTTATTTGCAATTTTGCCATTTTTTTCCCCTAAGCAGTCCCACCTCATATAATCCATCTTCACCAATATATGCCATTTTATGTGTATGTTACCCTAGTAAATGCATTTTTGCACACATTACATGGCTGGAGAAGTGCACTGCAAAATTTGGAGAAGTGCAAATTGCAAGTGCAAAAGGATGTGTCGCCTTTTCAATCTTTTCAGGAAGTGTGAATTAAGTAAGTTTATCTCTAAATGCAAACTGAACCAAACACCTCTCCTTTCCCTGATGGGGGCAGGGCTCGCAAGCAGTGCTGCTCCTAACTGATGTGGGGTTGGGGGCTCAGCAGAACAGTTATCCTGCGCCAGCAAGTTGCTTTCCATTTGCCCATCATTATGCAACTGCTGCAGGAAGAGGATCACTGCATGACATGTTGAGATATTTCTGGCCTATTCCCAGAAAACCATTTATTGTGGCAATCTAACTGAAGAAGTGTGCATGCACACAAAAGCTTATACTCAGAGCAAACTTAGTTAGTCTCTAAGGTGCTACTGGACAATATTTTATTTTTATTTATTTATTTTGACCTGAATCCTACTGAATGGAGTTTGTGGTTGCTTGAAATGGATGCCCTTGTCTGTCTCTGAAGGTGGATTCCGCCTTCCATTAAACTTTCCCATGGAGCTGGCTGAAACTGCCTTGGCCTGCACAGGGTAATGACTCTGTTACCAGTGGCCCCCTGGCTCTTACTCCTTAATTGAACATGCATATACACTGATGAAGGCCGAGGAGATGAACCAGAAATGGCAACATATAATTACATGGCCATGTTCAGAGGCAGGGCTGCTGCAGCCTGTCTTTCAGGGGCCCCCGATTCCGCACTAACAAGCCCGCCTTGCTGTCGGAGAGGTGCTTTGTCACTGTACGAGCGGGAGGAGGGCCAGCAAGCAGCCCTGTCTGCTTGCATTAGTAGGCCTGCATCCAGGTCTTAATTGGTTCATTGTCAGTCCAAGGAGAGAACTTGAAGGAGGTGGGTTGAATACACAGGTCAGTTATCAGGGCCATCGGAACTAGAATGAATATAATGAACCATATTAAATGCCAGAGATAAGGAGGTAGCTATATTGCTGATGTCAGAGGTGACAGGAAGCAGCTTTGTCTGAGAGTTGTCTGTGGAGGCTATTATGCGCACAAAGAAATATCTATTAAAATACCATGTTGCCTTCTAATAAACCACAGTGACTAAAGAGCCAGCTAAACACTCTGCTTCCCGATTATCCCGATAGCTCTTCGCTGTTACCATACTAGAGTCCATCTGCATGGCGCTGCTTCTTTAAGCTGTTTGGGTTGCTAGCCTTTTTGCATCAGCTCACTGAAATGTGACAAAATAATGTGGATTTGTCATGCACTGTCATTCCAGGGGGTGGGGGGTGGACTTGTGTGAAAGAGAAAGAGGTGTATAAAAGGACAGGGGGAGGTGGCATGGTGTGATGGAGTGGTTAATAATGTAAGCTGTGGACCAGGAAGTTGCTTGTTCAAATCCAACTTTAGCCATAGATATATGACTCAAAAGTAAGTCCTATTTAATTCAGTGAGCTGTACTAGAGGAGCAACCCAGTCAAATGGGCAGCATATTAATACTACTACTACTATTACGATTGCAGCCTTGGTGTCTTAGCCTCCATCCCTCATCTGCAGCATAAGGGTAAAAATACCGACCCATCTTGCAGGGCTGTTTTCGGAATTGCCTGGATAATGTGAAGGCAATGAAATATAAAAATGCTAAGAGTTTTTGTTTAAATAACAGTGGGTGAGTGGGAAAGGTGATAGGAATCGCCTCTAATACCAAGTTCTTGTTCTGTCTCCCAGGCCCTGCAGAAGTTATTCACTGCACAAGTCATAAGGAAGCCAAAATGTGGAATTCTTAAGAGTCCTGTGCATGCCATCTCCACATCTGGTAGGGATTCTCTGAATTCTGCTGTGTTCGGCTTTTCTGCTCTGCATAGTCCAAGCTTACTGATAAATCCTGACCTTGAATCCCTTGAGACTCTTACCTCTTCATAATACTACATCAAGGGTTTATCCCAATTTGGAACTCTTTATTATCCTCTCCCGGCGATTTGGAAATGGACGCGGACATCCTGTGCTCATTAGCTACGATTTTGAACAAGGGGCCTGATCAAGAACTAGCGTATATCACTCAGCATCCCATAGTGAAGCATCACCACTTCACAGGAGGCAGATCCCGAATTTGCTCGCTCTCTCTGTGTGTGTGTGTGTGTGTTTGTACAATTTCCATGAGTAAACTTGGTGAAAGATTAGTCTGCAGAAAGAGATAATGAATTGCAGAATAGAGTGCATACTAGCTTGGTGTCTGGCTGTGGCCAAGTTCAAACAAAGTTATGCATCATTATTTTGTCATATACTGTCATATACCCAAGGTACTATAAAGCGCATTATGAAGCAGACGGATGTAAACTTCTGTAAGCCGGAGGTGAGCAGGTGGCAGGAATGTGAGTCCTTGAGGTTCTTTTCCAGGTTCTCCCCACCCGCAGGCATATGTCAAAATTGGCAAGTGTGGTTCTGTGGAACATTATCTGGCATCTGAATTACCATAATTGGGAATGTGTTTTCACTTTTATAAGATAAATTAGGATAATTAGTGTTAATTTATAAGGTGAATGGGGATGTTCATTTTCATCCAAAGAGATCAGTTGTGAAATGTTGTACCCTATTCAAATGAATGAAAATTGCACTCCTGGAAACTGTGGGAGTGAAAAAAGACTAAATTCTGGGACACTGAGACAGTTGCATCATGTAAGTGTCTTTTTTTTTTAAGAAAGACTATTTTTATTAAAGATTGAAAGGCAAAAAAACCCACCAATATACACGAGTCAACATCAAATATCAAGCATTTCAAACATGAAAACTAAAAGAAAGAAAAAGAAGAAAAGAAAAAGACTTCCAATTCTGAATCTATCAGCTTTAAAAACATATGCAAAACTCCTGCTCCATAAGTGTCACATAATTGTCAATGGCATAATATATTTCACACACACACGCACACACACACACAAAATATCATGTCAAGATAGCACTCATGAGTTGTTCAAAGTGCATTATCTAATTGTATTCCTCACAACAACCTTATAAGGTTATTATTATCCTTGATATTGCAGTTGGGGCTGAGCCTCAGAGAGAGTGTCTTGCCTAAATTACAGCCCCCGGGCACATGGTATGAGGGCACATGATACAGCCACCTGACTGAAGCTAAGCTGGTCAGGGTCTGATCAGGCCTGGATGGGAGGCTGTCTGGGAACCTCATGTTTGCTGCCTTGAATTTGAAGAATGAAATAAAGACTGGCTATAACTGCTTGTAATGAATAAACAAACAAACAAACAAACAAACAAATAGTGAGTTTATGACAGAGGCAAGATTTGAATGAGGACATATGTGGCTGATAGCTCAGTCTCAAGCAGACCAGTCCAAACCCCGCAATCCACCACACGGAAAGGAGTTGGGATGAAATGTCCCTACACCCACCTCTGCTGAGTTCTGCTGCTGCGGGTAGAGGCTTTGCCATCATGGAGGTCCCTGCTGGGCCAGCTGAAATCTATGCACTCCAGTTTCTGGCCTTCCTGATAGCACAGTACAGTGGTACCTTGGGTTACATACGCTTCAGGTTACATACGCTTCAGATTACAGACTCAGCTAACCCAGAAATAGTACCTCGGGTTAAGAGCTTTGCTTCAGGATGAGAACAGAAATTGTGCTCCGGCGGCAGTGGGAGGTCCCATTAGCTAAAGTGGTGCTTCAGGTTAAGAACAGTTTCAGGTTAAGAACGGACCTCCGGAAAGAATTAAGCACTTAACCCGAGGTATCACTGTATATGAGAATTAACTGCACACCGTACTGTAAGTTATAATAGCATGAACAGAACTGAAGGAGGAGGACTTTTAAGTTTGTCCATGTATTTCTGTGGGATGGAGGATGAACTCGGGGGAAATAACAATTTCACAAAGAACTTTTTCTCCTGATCTCATTTTTGTTTGGCCTCTTTAATTGTTCACAAATGAGTTCTGGCTTACGGCTGAATAATTAAACCCTACTTGTGTGGACCCTATGTAAGAGGCTGGGAGTCATTCAGAAAATGTGTTTTCTATTCAGCTGAAAATGCAGAGATGCTGAAAATCTTGTCTGTGCTGGATTAGAAGAGGAAATGTGCATGTGTGTGTGTGTGCGCACACAAATGTGCTTACATGCACACACACGCATTGTATCATGCTTAATGTTGCAGAACAAACTCTGCCAAAACGTTTCTCATTTAAAAGCCAGCAGGGGAAAACTGATATTTGAAATACAGATCAATCTGAGAACAATTTCTAATTCTAGATATACACACACATTGTTGAAATGGAGTGTTTTGCTTGAGAATGCTCATTTAAGCAAAAATATTAATCAAGGTGGAAACGTGATTGGGAGTGGGTTGGAGAGAAGAGTTGATCGGATGGAGATGAGCATTTTCTTATTAGGGAGGAGTTGGAGGAGGAGGTGGAGGAGAGGAATAATGTGTGCAAATGCCAAGCACCTATCTAGGGGACTGACGAAAGATGGCACCTTCCCCCATTCCATGTACACGAGCTGACCAGGCTGGCAGCTCAATCTTACTTTGATGCTAATGATGGGGCAACTGGTGGTAGCAGGCTAACTAAAGGAGCTCAAGGTAAACTACACTGCATGCACAACTCTGTCAACTCCCCTTCCCTCGGCACCTGCTACCTCATGGTAGGGCCGGCCCTATCTAACTAGCTTTGTGTTAGGCCAAAATCATCAGGGATGGCTTAACCACTCACACCCCTTAGCACATCTTGATATTTCATAAGCTGAATGTAAGCTACTACACACTGAGATGTTCCTTTTCGTTAAACAACAGCAGTGAAAGATTGGCAGCACCAATGAGATCAGCTTCCAAACATCCTAGGACAGGTGGAGGTGCCTCAATAGGGCAGGTTCTACTAGCTTCACTCTATAGCCTTGATAGATTCCTCCTCCTCCCCTACTGATCATGAAACCATTGGACTCCCACCACCACCACCCCATGCTGCATGGGAGCTGCAGTGAAGCAAGTGGTACCTGCCCCATTGTTGCACCTCCTCCTATCCTAGGTTGTTTGCACATTCTGCAATTACCATTTTTGACTAGCCCAAAACCTGATAATTAAGTGATTGGAGGTGTGAAAACTACACTACTGTCATGGTGGGATCATTATCTTCTGAAAGTGCAGATACCCACCATGCCACAGACTCTTGCCGTTGGCGTCAGCTGCTTCATTGCCAGGTTACAGCAGAAACAAATCCACCCAACAAAAATCTACAGAAGTGTGCAAATATTTTCTGGGTGTGCAAATATTTTCTATTCACCCTCAGCATTTTCAGCAGCAGTTGCCAACTGGCTGTAGCAGCTAATAACTGACTCGCATTGGTGGCTTAGGTGTGATAGAAGCTCAATATTTGTCGCTTGTATAATCAGTCTCTCCTTGAATAGGTGAATGTTGAAGCAGGCGTGTCACAGGGGAGCATTGCTGAGAGACTAATGTTTATTGCCCAGCCCAAGTCAATTGACATGGACTGGGGTTATGAAAGGTCAGTGACCGATCCTATGACAGTTCTGAGAGATGGTACTCTGGGGGTGTCTGGTGATGTTTATGAGATAAACGAGGGCGTTGTGGTGATATTCCCCATGCCTCACATCTGTCCAGACCTCCCGTCTGCTCTGTATCTGAGAGATCCTGCTCCATTTTCTTGCAGCCAAGAAGGCCCACTCATTCCTCAAAAGCACTTGAGGACAGGAAGAGCCCAGGAAGATTAACACGGCTGAGCCTTTGCCTTTGGTAATAAGAAGCTTAAATAAAAATCTACACACTGCTGCTGACCTCTGACCGCCAAGAGTGCTTTGCAGAAACTTTATTACCTTCTTATGAAATGAACACAAATGTGTCTTTAATTCCTTCCTGGAGCCCCTGTGAACTGTGCGGCTCAGGCAAAGGTAGCCTGGGACTTGTTAGGGAAGAATTTATGTGACATCACACAGCGCTGGAGGGGGAGGATGGTTTAATCATTTTTAATTACATCCCATTGGAGCTTCGCTGGGGCTTTTGAACAAGATCACTCCTTAGGCCTCCCCAGTCTCTCTGTCACTCACGGTTCTTCACTGGGGGCTCAGCTTGTGTGTTAGCCATGAGACGGTGTTCATAAAGAAATTCATTACTGCCTTCTCCATGCTAACGAGCTGTGGCACAGGGGTTGTAAGGGAGAGCTGCACAGATTTATCTTTTATGGGCCTACTTAGCCTTGGGACACCTTGTGAAGGGCTTAGGAAGCTCCAACAGACTTATCTTCTCCTTGTCCAGTTCTTTACATACCAGTGGCAGGGCTGGAGGTAGTTGATATTTCTAAGAAGCCACACGTCCCTCTGCTATGGACTCCACCCAGGGCTCCCACACATACACTGCCTGAAAGAGGGTTGACCAAAACCATAGAGCAGAATGCTGACACTAGACCAGCCTTTCCAAACCTGGTGCCTTTCAGATGTTGTTGGACTACAATTCCCATCAGCCCCAGCCAACTTGATCTAGACAAAAAGCTTGTCACATGATTGGACTGTTTCTGGATTAGACCACTTCAGACGGCTGGCAGAGAAACCCATGATGGAATTTGCGACGTAAAAAAAACCACTCCTCCCTGCACATAAGAAAACTAAATGTCAGGAACAAAGAGTTGAATTCTTGTCTAGTCTTCAGACTTACATATTAGTTTTTTATGTGCATGGGTGCTATTTTTCATGAACGATCATTCGGACATGCAGTGCCTTATCTACATACTGAAGCAGTACAGTCCTGGCACAGTTTTAGCTGGTCACCAGTTAAATATGTCCAATTGCAAAAGCTATGTTGCTGCCATTAAAATATTTACAAGTTAGAGGCGCCTTCTGAGTAGTGCATATGATATTAGAAGTGCCACTGATATCATAGGCACTACTCAGCAGGTGTACCAAACCAGCCTTACCAAATCTGATGCCCTCCAGATATTTTGGATTGTAGCTCTGGTAATTCATTGCCCGTCCTGATTACCGCTTATGGGATTTGTCATAAAAAAACATCTGGAGGGCACCAGGTTGGAGAAGGCTGCTCTGTGGTTTAGTGTTACATACATGAGACTCCGGTATGCCATGAAGAGGTCAGAAGCTATTTTGCTTTCACTTTCAGCTAACTGTGTTTCCTTGTTATGTCCAAACCAGGACAAACTGTGTTTAGCCTTAGCTATAATTATGAAAATAAGCCAACATCAGACTGTGTCTTTCAATCCTGGCTTGTTTCCCAAAACCATAGTTGAAATGTATGCTTCTAATCTCCTTGCAGTGACGTCAGAGGAGATCTAAAGAGTGAGCATACTCATTCAAGGTTTGCTCAGGCTCATTCCCAGAGTGCTATAACTGTGGTTTAGAGTTATGCCCAAATCAGCCTATGCCTTTCTCTTAGCAGTGCCTCATTTAGAAGCCCAGAAGCTGCTTTGTTATATGGGTTAGTCCATTCCATTGTCACATATGGGATTAGGGAAGCAGCTTCAGGAGTAGGAAAAAAGTGAGTACACTTTCTATCCTTCCCTTCCCTCCCTCCCTCCCTTCCCTGAGTTGGTACCATTATCGATTTGCTACTGCAAGAGCAGGACTACTACAGGCATAACACTAAGGGGGAAAGTCATCCCATTTCTCTACAAAAATAATCATCTGTACAATAGTCAGTGTAATCCCTGGATTACTTTGAATAAGTCACTCAATATTGTGCCTCAGTTCCTGCCTGGAGAAAGGGGCTAACAGCACTGCAAGATTTATGAGGGTGGCTATTATAGACTGGCAGGTGCTGTTTTACTGCAAGAAGATGAAATCTGTAGAACGTTAAGAAATGTACAGAATGCTTTTTTATGGTTGTCAACTTCCTACCTAAAGAGATCCTCTTTTAAATGAAATATTCCAGTTAAAAATAAAACACAGAAACCCCACTTGCTCAGATCTTTAATACGCTGTTTATTCAGCCCTCTTAAATATACGTAATGTGATTCTAATTCACTTAATGCTTATGATTTAAAGTGTGTTCATTTTGGTTTTTCCATAAAAGTCCCATAAAATCATTCACTGAGGAGAAAGGATTTCATTTGCCCATAAACATGAGGTTTATATTTTCTGGCAGTAAGGGGATTTCTATTGTCTCTTCAAAGATCTCTGCACTTGAGAAAACCCTTTCTCATACATGGAAGAATAAAATGTATGATTAATTTCAAGTTCATAATGTCTTGAGTCCGCAGAGGTTGGTCTATTGGGGCAACCATTGCTCAGCGCTACCAGGTGAATTAGCCAGCATTTTTTTTTCTAAAAAATGTTATCTGCAAAAATCTCAAAGCCAAAATTTTCCAGTCCTACATACCCTTCCACAATCCATTTCAATGTAGAGAAAAGTCTTGGATACTTTTCTGTCTATCTCCCATTCATTGGCCAATCAGCTCTCTGCACCACTTAGCCAATCTCAATCCAAAAGTAGTGTTATGGCTAAGATTCCTGTTCCGTGACTGCAGTCATGGGATTGTTGTCGTTCACACACAACGGTGTATGTTTTGGATCCACAGAGTGGGAAGTGATAGAGACAGGATGTTTGTGTTACTGTGTTCCGTGAAGTGGGACTGTTGTCCTTTGTTTTTCCTCTTTGCTGTCTGATGCTAGAGAGAGAGGGAGCCATGTTGCAGTGCTCTGTGTGTGTTTATATGTAAACAAAGTAGATTAACCAAAATGCTGAGTTGCTGAGGTCTGTTACGCAAGCTGCGAAGACTCTGCGGATCCCTAAGTGTGCCGATGTCTGTTGGCATCAGTCGCTGTGATGTTCAGGCAGAAGAAAGCTTTTGAAGCTCCCGAACGATGGAACAGGAGGGAGGGAACATGCCAGTTGGGTATGTGTCTCTGTCAGGGTCCTACCTGAGAGTAGGACAAGCTCCTGACAGGTCCCAACCATCTGTCTCCAGATGGGAAAAAACCAATGTTATACTTTACTAGGTCCTAGTTGTGCAGTTTCTCCCTGTTTCTTCCTTTCATTCTCTCAAACCAGCTAGCATATACTGTAGTGAAAGTTAACAAGGCTGACTTTGAGTAGACCAGTTAACTGACATGCTCAGAGCTGTTCCTTCAAGAATTTTTGGGCCAACAGAAGAGAGTGGTTGCTAGTTTGAGCTTGGTTTTTTAATTAGTATTTGGTGGCAGAGAGAGAGAGAGAGAGAGAGAACAGTGGAAAGCGTGAGGGTTATGTATGCAAAAGTGCAAACATGTATGCACTTTTAACTTCTTAAACTATTTGAATGTTTGTGTGTGCCAGTGGGCTTTTAACATAACAAGCATGGGGTAGTTCCCCCCACCATGAACTCAAAATTCACCCCCAGAATTGTCCTTTCAGTTCTAGTTGGTGTAGCCTTTATGGATAGGAGTGCAGCTCCTGAAATGCTGACATTATTAACAAAATTAATTCCTATAAATTCCTATAAAGTCTAATTGTTATCAATACAGGGTACCTTTTCCTTATGGTCACCAATCTAAGCAATACATGTTACTATACATCATTTCATATCTGTAATAATTGTAATAATTTTGGCATATACCCTTTGACACAACTTTGTTAATATATTCAGAAACATTTATCTGAGTGTTTATTCTTGTTTTGTTTTTTAATTTTTTTAAAATAAGATATTTATTGAAATTTTCAAAGTGTTACAAAATAGAATAAAAGCGGTAGAAAATACAAAATAAAGATAATTAACAAAGTAGAAAAAGAAAAAAACAAACCCCTTCCAACCGTATGAATACAAATTCAAAGATAAGAAAAAGTGACAAAAATAAATAAATACAAAAATACATCACACACTGTCAGAGCTGGCTCCAGGTCCCAGCTCACAGAGGACCAACGCTAGCCGGCAGTAATGTACAAAAGTCTTTATTGAAGTACAGTTTCCATTTTCAAGCCGGAGCGCCCCAGCTCTACGTCTAGGGGTTAGATCGGCGAAGCTCCATCTGAGTCTCCGCCCCTGTACACCAGTTTAAGATTCTAGCCTTACTCCACCTCTTACGTCTCTCCTTTCTCCTCTGGGTCCTGCTACCCCCCGGGGTCCCTTCCTTCCTGGATTCTTCTGACGCTGACCCCGCTGACTCCTCCCCCTCTTTTCGGCGGGCTTTGGGACCTGGCTCCCTATCCGGGCTGCCAACTGCGCCGCCCTCCTGTACATTTGAACTTGGCGCGCGCGCCCAGCCTTCAACCTTCCTCTCGACCGTTTCCTCGCTCCCCGATGGAGGCGTGGCCAATCCTGACTCATGTCCTCCCACTGGCAGTGCGCCGCCTGATCCCGATGCCTGGGACTCCTCCCCCCTACTGCACTCTGGTGTGGACGCTGGTCCTGATTTCCAACTGCTGCTCTCTGAGTCCCCTCTGGCCCCTTCTTCCTGGGGTGTCCCCCCCGCACCCCCTTGCTCTGACCAAGGGAGCCCCTTTCTGTGAATCTTCCGATTCGCTGGAAAGACTCAGAGACCTCGGACCGCTGTCATCGCTAACATTTCCTTCGGACTCCTCCCCTCGCTCTCTATTTCCTCCCTTTCCTGTGCCTCTGCTCCTGAACCCCTGACATCCATCCCCCTCGAAGCCCCCCTTCCCCCTCCCCTCCTTCAGGTGTGGGTACTGGGTGCTCCGTCGTTGTGGGGGTGAGTGCCGGATACAGTTCGTCCCCCGTGGCGTGCATCCAGCCGGATAAGTCCGGCTCGTCCTCCGTGCTCTCGCCGACCTCAATTTCCTCTGCTTCCATCTCTTTGCCGCCGTGCTCGAACCCAAGGTCCTCCCCCAACACGTCCATGTCCGTCCTTCCCCGGTCTCCTCCGGGGACGTTGCCTGCCAAGGACCCCCCAACCACTTCCTGCGCCACTGCTCCTCTGGTTGAGTGTCCCACCAATAGGAACGGTCTGAGGCAGACCCCGAGGGTGATCCCTCCGGGGAACGTGCTTCTAGTGCCGGTTCCTCGTCCGAGGTGAACCCCTGGAATGTGCTAGCTGAAAATGTGGGTGTGAAAAGCCAGTCGTCGAAATACTCGGCTGGCATGGGCCTGTGTGGGAAAAGTGCATGGAACTCGTCCTTGAGCCAAGATTCCTCCAGAGCATAATCTGGCACCCAACTGTTGGCGCTAGCCGGGGTACCTTCCTTGGCGAGGAGGTATTCCACTCCCTCCTCCCCCATCTCGAGTCTAAAATCTCTGTGACTTCGTTGACGGGTTCCCGCCTTGGCGACCCCCTTGTGGGCGTTTCCCTGAACGGGTCTGGTGCCGTTCCTGGCTCCTGAAATCTATGAGGTGCTTTGTAGGGCGTGAGCACTGATCTATGGAAAACTGGGTGCATTCTGGATCCCTCCGGCAGTGTCAACCGGAAAGCCACTGGATTGACCTGTGCCTCGACTTGGTAGGGTCCTAGCTGCTTATGCCCTAGCTTCTTCTTCGCTAACGATCTGGCCGGCACTGCCTGGGCTGCTAACCAAACCCAGTCTCCCACCTGTATGTCTTCCCCAACCCTCCTGTGCTTGTCAGCCTGCAGTTTGTATGCGTGCTTTGCTAGTTCTAACTGCCTCCTAAGCTGTTCGTGAACCTCCTGCAACTCTGATGCTAAGGCTTCCGCTGCCTGTGGCTCCCCCTCCCCGCTCTCGCTAATCCCGGGAAGGTTCTGGGATGCCTCCCGTTGTTGGCGAAGAACGGTGTCACCCCCGTGGACACGTGCTTCGTGTTGTTGTAGGCGAACTCAGCGAGCGGCAGGTAGTCCACCCATGTTGCCGGCTGCTGATTTGCGTAGCATCGCAGGTACTGCTGCATGATGGCGTTGACTCGCTCCGCTTGTCCGTTCGTCTGCGGGTGTCTCGCCGACGCTAGGTTGATCTTGACGTTCAGGAAACCCATCAGCTTCTGCCAGAAGTTCGAGATGAACTGTCGCCCCTGGTCGGACAGGATAGACCGTGGCAGACCGTGAACTCTGAACACGTGGTCTATGAACAGTTTGGCGGTCTGTTCCGCCGTGGCCACCTTCGCGCACGGAATGAAGTGGGCCATTTTGGTGAACATGTCCACCACCACTAGCACTGCCGTCTTGCCCCTCGAGCTGGGTAGATCCGTGACAAAGTCCAGGGCCACCCTCTCCCACGGTTCGAGCGGTGTCTGCAGCGGTTCGAGCAGTCCCGCCGGCGGTTTGTGCACTGACTTGGCCCTTTGGCAGGTGTCGCACCTCGAGACGTAATCCGCGACTTCCCCCGCATCTTGGGCCACCAAAAATCTCTGGCTACTAATTCTACCGTCTTCTCTTTGCCAAAGTGCCCGGCGGTGGGTGCGTCGTGCAACTGCTGCAGTACTTTCGCGCGGAGGTCGTCTCCCGGTACGTAGAGGGCCCCTCTGCGGATGAGCAATCCGTCGCGTATCTGGAACTCGTCGTCCTCCGCCGTGCCCCTTTGCACCTCTGCCATCTTTGCTTGCGCGAAGGGGTCCTCCTGCAGTGCTCGACGTACAGCATCCAGGTCCACGGTTGCTGAAGCGCACGCCCACGCTTTCGGTGCGAAAATGTGCTTGGCCGCTGCTGGCGCCGCCTCCTCGAGGTATTGCGGCTTTCTGGACAGTGCATCCGCCATGATGTTGTTGTCGCCTGGGATGTACTCTATCCTGAAGTCGAAATCCGCAAAGAACTCCGCCCATCGTATGTGCCTCTGGTTCAGGAACCTTGCCGTGCGCCAGTACTCCAGGTTTTTATGGTCCGTGCGGACCTGCACTGTGTGTTTGGCTCCAATGAGGAAGTGCCGCCACGCCTTGAATGCTGCATGAATGGCCAGCAACTCCCTGTCCCAGATGGTGTAGTTCTGCTCTGACTTGCTGAGCTTCCTGGAGTAGAAGGCACACGGTCTCCAGTCCCCATGCGGGTCTTGCTGCAACAGTACTGCTCCCACGGCTCTGTCTGAGGCGTCCGTTTCAACCCTCATCGGTCTGCTGGGATTCACATGCAGTAGCTGCTCTTCGGACGAGAAGAGACGCTTGAGTTTCTGAAAGGACTGCTCCGCTTGCTCCGTCCAGATGAACTTCTTCTTCTTGGAGCTGAGCGTGTCGGTAATGGCCGCCGTCTGCATCGCGAACCCCTTGATGAACTTGCGGTAAAAGTTGGCGAAACCGACAAACCGCTGGACCTCCTTCCGATTGCGCGGGCTCTTCCAGTCCAACACTGAGCGAACCTTGGCGCTGTCCATGGCGAGCCCCTTGTCCGACAACTTGTAGCCCAGGAAATCTACCTCCTTCATGTCGAACTGGCACTTCTCCAGCTTGGCGTACAGCCTGTGCTCCTGCAGTCTCTGCAGAACTTCCTTGACGTCTCCCTCGTGGGTCTCCTCTGATTCTGAAAATATCAGGATGTCGTCCAGGAAGCAGACGCATTTCTTGTAGAGGAGACCCGCCAATACGTGATGCATGAAGGCTTGAAAACAGTGGGAGCCATTTTGTAATCCAAAGGGCATAACTCTGTATTCATAGGTGCCCAGGGGCGTGAACATGGCAGTCTTCCATTCGTCGCCCTCCCGTATGCGAATCAGGTTGTACGCCCTCGCAGATCCAACTTTGTGAAAACGCGTCCTTTCCTCACCGTTGCGAGCAGGTCATCTATCTTGGGCATGGGAAAGGCTGTGGGCTTGGTTTTCGAGTTCAAAATTCTATAGTCCACCACAAGCCTTTTTGGGGCGTGTCCTTCTTCTTCACAAAGAATACAGGACTGCCCCCCACTGCCTTCGACTCCCGGATGAAACCGCGCTTCAAGTTGAGGTCTATGAACTCCCTGAGTTCCTGCAGCTCGTCTTCAGACATGGAATACAGTTTCCCGGTTGGCAGCGTCGCCCCTGGCAGGAGGTCAATCTTGCAGTCATAAGACCTGTGGGGAGGTAGCTTGTCCGCTTCCTTCTCGCAGAAAACCTCCAAAAACGCTGCGTACTTGAGTGGCACCGCTTGCAGCGTGCCTAATTGTAGCTGCGGGTCATCCTCTTCCCCTTCCGGGCTAGGCAGAATGCAATGTTCCGCACAGTATGAGGAGCCGAAGGTCAGTTGTCGCTGGTACCACGCCAATGCTGGGCTGTGCCTGTGCAGCCAACTCATGCCTAATACTATAGGCGTGTCCGACAGTTGGGTGACATTGAAGCTGATGACTTCTCGGTGATTCCCAATTTGCATCACCATCGGAGGAGTTTGCTGCACCACCTGCCCCCAGCAATTCCCTGCCATCCACCGTGACAACTTTCAGAGGCAGCGTGGCTGGCAGGAGTGCTATGTTGTGCTCTTGAAGGAAATCCAGTCCTATGAAGTCTGCGTTACTACCAGAGTCAATGGTAATCGGCACTTCCATAGTGAGTCCATTGGGTAGTTGGAGCGATGCTGTGAGCTGCACCACTGGTTTGGGCGGGAGGGGGTCTGTGGGCTGCAAAATCTCTGGGGACGGCTTCATTGACGTGTCTGGTTGGGCCCCAGTGCCTCTTCCTCCAACCAGACTCTGTCGTTTCCCTGCTGTGGCTCCCTCTGCTGAGTTGCTTCTGTTACTGTTGCTGAGGCTGCAGTGTGCTTGTGGAGCCTCTGGGGACACTCTTTCGCCATGTGCTGAGCACTGTCGCAGATGTAGCACTTCCTGTTCCCTCTAGGAGGCTTCGCTTTGACTGCTCCCGGTGTTAAGGCTCTGGTTGTTGACTGAGCCCTGGCGCCTCCAATCTCCATCGGTTGCTCCCCCCTCCTTGCGGAGGTGGGGATTGCACACGCGCTGCATCCGTGGGAAAGAGGGGAGGTGCTCTCACTGGCGTACGTCCCCAACGTCCTTCTTCTCTGTTCCATGGACGTTCTTCCAGACGCACCCCAATTTGCAGCGCCCGCCGGACAACCTCCTGAGTGCTCTTTGGTCTCTCCCCCCTTGCAATCTCATCTTTCACATTTGCATTCAAGCCTTCCCAAAAAAAGGTCTCTGGCTGGGGCAGAATCCTTCTCCCATCCCAGCGCATGGACTAATGCAAAAAAGCGGGAATGGTACTGCCTTACACTGGCTCTGCCTTGTTTGAGCCCATGTATGTCTTTTCTGGCGATATCAATGTCTATATTTGATAAAAACACGAATCCATCGCTTTAATGAATGCATCCGCATTTTGGAGCGCCGGATCCTTATCTCTCCACAGATTGCGCAGCCACGCTTTAGCTTCCCCATGCAAATGGGACAAGATAAACCCCACCTTTTCTTGCTCATCTCTAAAGTCTTTATCCAGCAGTTCCAGTGCAAACAGCACGTCTGCTCGGAAGTTAGGGTACTGCTGCAAATTCCCATCGAAATGAGATACCAGGCTGCCTCCTCTTTTCCCCAGCCCAATCCCCTCTGATTTGGGTCCCGGTTGCCCCTGCTTAGCAAGCACTTCCAACCTGGCTTGGAGATCCCTGCAGGCGGCAGCCGCTTCCTCTTCCCTTTTCCTGGATGCGAGTACCTCCGCGTTGAGTTGTGTCACTGCATTTTGCAGGGCTGCTAGTTGCTGTTCTGTAGTCATCTTGCCTGACTTTTGTGAGCTCGCGAAGCACCAATCTTCTTCCCTCGCTGCGTCCACTCACGTTACGAGGTCTTTGGTGCAAAACTTTTTGAGATGGAGCTTACTGTCAGAGCTGGCTCCAGGTCCCAGCTCACAGAGGACCAACGCTAGCCGGCAGTAATGTACAAAAGTCTTTATTGAAGTACAGTTTCCATTTTCAAGCCGGAGCGCCCCAGCTCTACGTCTAGGGGTTAGATCGGCGAAGCTCCATCTGAGTCTCCGCCCCCTGTACACCAGTTTAAGATTCTAGCCTTACTCCACCTCTTACGTCTCTCCTTTCTCCTCTGGGTCCTGCTACCCCCCGGGGTCCCTTCCTTCCTGGATTCTTCTGACGCTGACCCCGCTGACTCCTCCACCCTTTTCGGCGGGCTTTGGGACCTGGCTCCCTATCCGGGCTGCCAACTGCGCCGCCCTCCTGTACATTTGAACTTGGCGCGCGCCCAGCCTTCAACCTTCCTCTCGACCGTTTCCTCGCTCCCCGATGGAGGCGTGGCCAATCCTGACTCATGTCCTCCCACTGGCAGTGCGCCGCCTGATCCCGATGCCTGGGACTCCTCCCCCCTACTGCACTCTGGTGTGGACGCTGGTCCTGATTTCCAACTGCTGCTCTCTGAGTCCCCTCTGGCCCCTTCTTCCTGGGGTGTCCCCCTCGGCACCCCCTTGCTCTGACCAAGGGAGCCCCTTTCTGTGAATCTTCCGATTCGCTGGAAAGACTCAGAGACCTCGGACCGCTGTCATCGCTAACATTTCCTTCGGACTCCTCCCCCTCGCTCTCTATTTCCTCCCTTTCCTGTGCCTCTGCTCCTGAACCCCTGACACACACGATTAAAAAACATTTAAAAACAAATTCATTATTCTCAGATCCTCAACTGTCATTACCTTCTTTCTTTGACCTCCTCCTCCTCCCTTTCTTTGTATCCTAGTTATTAATTATCCCAGCAAATCCTTTCCATATTTCATAATATTCTGTCATTACATTACCCTAAACTGTTTTAATCTTATCTTTCTATAATAAAATAAAACTTAAAGCTTGAAACTTAAATCTTATCCTTACCAACTTCTCATAACCATAATATTCTTTCATAATTCTTTAAACATCTTTACTAAAGCCAAGTAATTTCATTCCAACATTTTTCTAACATTCATCAATTTTATAAAACAGTTCTAATGGTAGAAAAAAGAAATACAAACGAATCCAATCTTCATCCAACGTCCCTTCCTCCTGGTTCCGGGTTTTGTCAGTCCTTATTATCCCGTCGATCTAGCCCATTAACCTGGCAGCCTTATATCCGAGGCCCTCAAGTCTCTTCCATGTCCCTTCCGCAGCTCTTCTTCATATTTGTAACTGTATTTTCCCTTGTCTCCTGCTCGTGGTAACTCCAGCTTGGCAATATTTTTAACCCTTCTCGACAGATCAGCCCCTTTTCCATATTCAACACTGAATTCCATATGGTATTTAAAAGCATGTTTCAAAGACCCTCCAAAATTAAGAGCCCCCACAATCCCAAACATCTCACGGCCCATTGCCAGATTTGAAAAGTCCAAACATCCCAGCATAGGGGGGGTCAATCCAGCCCCCCATTTCCAAGCCAAACCAAACTTTTTCTTTCCAAATCTGGCTTTTTCCAAGTTCATTTGTCAAATCCGAAAGCTCATATTCCTGTTGGGCCTGTTCTGTCAGGACACACTCCTGATTTAATTCCTGAGTGGGCTCCACATATTTTCCCGCTATCTGTTCAAAATTTCCCACTGCCTGTTCAAAATTTCTAGTCGAAGTCGCTATCCAATTCACCTTTTCATGTAATTGTTCCAGTAGGGCATTTGTTTTATAGAAAGCACACAACAAAGCTTCTGAATACATTGTCCTGCAAGGTCAAATGCCTGTTCCCACGATTGTTATCTGTAACAGCTGCCGGCTCCCTGGAGTTAGTTACAGTTACACAGTCTCCCACTAGGGGGAAAACTTCTATTTGTTCTTGCAACAAAGTTTCCCTTTTTGAGATACTTTGTCAATATTTGTTGCTTAAAGATGCGAAGGGAAGCAGTGGAATCGCTATGTTTCTCTTCTTTTAGCTATCTGTCAAAAACGCTTGTCTCTGGTCAATGAACTTCAAACGTCAGTCCTGACACCCCGCTCCAGGATCAGGACGGAGGAAAGTTACTTTACTTTAAACTCACTTTAAACAGTCCAGAAAAGATCCCCCTCCTTCTCCTGCTGTCGAAGGGGGGTTCCACAATTTTAAATGATGAAATCCAATCCTTTAAAGGCGATTTTCTAAGCTCTAGTTTACGTTGTCTTTGCTTTATTCTGTCTACAGAAGAACGGAAGGCTGACTTCCTGTTTAGACCTTCCCGTTCCATACCAAATTAAAATAGGTTTTTAAAATCCAATTCCTTTCTGCTCGCAAGTCCTTATCTAATGTCCAGTTGTTCAAAGTCTAAGTACTCACAGGCGCTTATTTCAGAGTCCAAATTGTCCCAGGAAAAAGGCAGCGCTCTCCGGCAATGGCTGTGCGGCTTCGCTCCACGGAAATAGCAGTTGACTCACAGCACCGCGCCACTTCCCCCTCTTCACTTCGGAGCCCGTTAGTGGGTTCCTTAGCGAGTTGGGGGGCGCTAAAGGTGCCCGCCGAGTCCCATGGTCACAGGCTTCATCTGCCTGTGATTTTTAAAAGGGTCCCCGCTTCGCCGTAGTGGAGAAGACCCGTTTCCCGCGGAGCTAGTCCCTCCAGTTCAGAGGGAGTCCGCCATTGCCGGTGGCGCCACCCCGGAAGTCCTGTTTTGTTTTTTAATTTTATGTCATTGTTGCATGTCATATGCTCTAACGTAAACAAAGATACCAGTATATCTCAGTGCAACCACATTAAACAGTCTAAAGATAAAAATGTATAGAAACTATGTTACCAAAAATAAATGTATCTGGTGAGCAGGAGGAGTATGAAAAATAAATC